TCCCTCCCTCCCTCCTTCCTTCCTTCCTTCCTTCCTTCCTTCCTTCCCTCCCTCCCTCCTTCCTTCCTTGCTTGCTTGCTTGCTTGCACTTTTTCTATCCCTTTTTGTAGCATGGTGACCAAGAGTGGATGCCATATTCCAGGTGTGGCCTTACTAAGGCTTTATAAAGCGGTACTAATACTTCACGTGATGGTCATAAGTGCGAAAAGCGGTCACAGCTCAGGGTTTTTTTTGCAGTGCCCTGGTAACTTTGAACAGTTGCTAAATGAACGATCGTAAGCTGAGCACTGCCTGCATTTGAGAACCATCTCCGTGGCTCTTTCGATGTTTAATCCCACATTGATCGGTTGCGTGATTCACTTAGCAACTGTGGCAAGAAAGGTTGGTAAAACGCAGCAAAGCTCACTTTTGGTACTCACCTCGCCTGCACTAAACCCTGGTTTGATTGCTGTTTGCGTATCATTTAAAGCAGCCCTCCCCAATCTGACGCTCTTGGTAGGTTTAAATTTAGGACGTATACTAAATTTGGAATTTGCGCATCCACGTTGTGGAGTTCGGGCCTGTTCCAAGCTGCACATGTGATTTTGGCTGGGAATGTCCCTCCCCCCGCCCCCGTCTCCCGACCCCCTTTTGCAAACAATAAATGTTTATAAATCCGCTCCTCAAATTGATGCCTACAGATGGGTCGGCCTGCTTCCTTCTGATAATAATCTCTCGGGTTTTGTCCCCAGTCAAGAGGTCATTGGGAGCCGTTGCAGATGGAAATAAAATAAGTTTTTCAGGGTGGGTTGGATGAACGAATCTGTTTTAGGAATAATAACAGTAGTAGCAGTAGTAGTTGGAGTTGTTATTATTATACACAAAAATGACACAGCAAATGAGATAACTAGGCTGGGTTTCGTATCACAAATCACTAGTCGAACCCTTCCCAAGCGTTTAGGACTGCGTGATGTATTGGCAGATTATGCGAGCAGATCCCAGTAAGGTGGCCTTCTGCAGCTGACCAAGGGTGATCTTGTCAGCGCCAATTGTCTTTAAGTGCTTGCCTAGGTCTTTAGGCACAGCAGCACCCAGTGTGCCCAGTACCCCTGGAACCACCTGCACTGGTTTATCCCGGAGTCTCTGCAGTTCGATTCTCAAGTCCTGATATCTGGTGACTTTTTCAAGTTGTTTCTCATCGATTCTGCTGTCACCAGGTATGGCAATTTCAACGATCCACGCTTTTTTCTTCTCCACAAACGTGATATCTGGGGTATTGTGTTCCCAAACTTTGTCAGTCTGTATTCGGAAGTCCACAGTAGTTTGCATGCTCATTTTCGACCACTTTTTCAGGCTTATGATCCCACCAGTTCTTTGCTACAGGCAGATGGTAGTTGTGACACAAGTTCCAGTGGACCCTCTGAGCGACTGTGTTGTGATGTTGTTTGTAGTCAAGTCTGAGTTTTTCCCTTGCAGCAGCTCAGTATGTGATCGGCGGTTCCGTCCGCTTCTTTGCAGAGTCTGCATTTGGGCTCATCAGCAGATTTTTCCATTCTGGCTTTGATTGCATTCGTTCTGATGGCTTGTTCTTGGGCAGCAAGAATCAGGCCTTCTGTTTCGTCCTTCGGTGTTCCATTGGTCAGCTATAACCAGGTCTTTTCCTTATCTACTTTTCCTTGGCTCTTTCCAAGGAACTGTCCATGCAGTGCTTTGCTACACCAGCTGTCAGCCCGAGTTTGCATCACTGTTTTCCTATATTGATTCTTGCTTTGCTGCCCTTTGAGCAGCTTCCTCTTGTTGATCTCCATCATAGCTGGTTCAACACCGTCTTTCACATAATCTGCCAGAGCAGATGCTTCTCCTCTTCGACTGTCTGCTTCACTTGCAAAAGTCCTCTGCCGCCTGCTTTTCTGGACAAATACAGCCTGTCAACGTGCAGCTCATAGCGTATGGTCATCAGTTTTCTTGTTTTCCTATCCAAGCTGCCCGGCTCTGCCTGTGTCCAGTTTATGATCCCAGCAGTACATCAGATGACGGTTATGGTGTTACCGCCATTCGGTTTGCTTCTTAGAAGTTTTCTGACCCTTTGTGCGTATTCTTTGCTGACCACATTTTTCACTTGCCCGTGCTTGATATTGTCCAGTCCAGATAACATCCACTGAACAAACAAATCGTCCTGCCTACAGTAGAGCAGTCACCGTAACAGAAGAACTGGGGATTCAACAGCCGCAGCCCCTGCTAGAAAACTGACTGGAAAACCACAGTGGAAAATCAGGTTGGAATTGAAAATCAAGAGCCTGCAAGAAGATGCCAGCAACTTTGAAGCATTTGTAGGAGGAAAAGCTGAAGAACAGCCAGGTCAAGAAACATCGGATAAAAAAAAATATGGGCTTAGCACACAAGAAAAATTCACGAAGCATTGGAAATTGTGAAGCAGCAGATAACAGCAACAGCCAGAAAAATGGAAAGATAGGAAGCCGGAGTCTGAATCAGACGGGGGGATACGAAAATGGGAAAACATAATAATAATAATAATAATAATAATAATAATAATAATAATAATAATAACAACAACAACAACAACAACAACAACAACAATAACAACAGCAACAACAATAACAATAAACAAAAATGTTGTTGTTGTTGTTATTATTATTATTATTATTATTATTAGGTTTTTGGAAAATCTTCAGTCTTTTCTCTTAAAATATATCCCCCTCCCCTTAGCTGGGAAAGATTACAGAAAATCCTCAGGTTACGACCACAACGTGGGTTGTGAAGTGTGCTGTGCTTAGGGTTATGACCTTTGTTGCCACAGTTGTTAAGTGAATCCCTGGAGTTGTTCAGTTAAACAGCCTGACCTCTTTTAAAGTGTTCAGTGGTGGAGTTCCCTTTTTTTAAGGGATACGAAGTTAAAAGGTCGAAATAAAAGAGCCAGTTTGGCGTACCAGGGGACAAGAAACCAGGGGACGGTGAGTCCTAGTTCCACCTCCTGAGCAAAATCTGGATGGGTGTCTTTAGGCCGCTCCCCAGGAGACAGGGAGTTCTAGTCCTGGCTTAGGCATGAAAACTGGCTGGGTCCCCCTCTCTCTCTCTCAGCCCAGCCCACCTGACTGGGTTGTCATTTTGGGGGAAATAGGAGGAGGAAGGAATATTAGCAGGAGCAATAGACCTTAGACTTATCTACCGCTTCACAGTGCTTTCCGGCCCTCTCTAAGCGGGTGATAGAGTCAGCCTCTTGCCCCCAACAAACTTGCCCCCAAACAGTCACTCGAGCCATTCAGGATCAAACTCTTGGCAGTGGGCAGAGTTAGCCTGCAATACAGCATTCTAATAGGAAGGAAGGAAGGAAGGAAGGAAGGAAGGAAGGAAGGAAGGAAGGAAGGAAGGGCAAGAGCAAGAGCACTTAGACGTATATCCCGCTTTATAGTGCTCTCTTAAGTGGGTGTCAGCCTCGTGCCCCCAACAATCTGGCTCCTCCTTTGACCCACCTCGGGAGGATGGGAGGCTGAGTCAACCTGGAGCCTGGTGAGGATCGAACTGCTTGCAGAATCAGCCTGCAGTGCTGCATTCTGACCACTAGCTCTTAGCTCTTACTACCTACCTTCGCTGCCTTGAGTTCCTTACAAAGTAATAAAGGTGAGATAAAAACCTTACGAATAATAAAATGGCAACATATCCTGTTGCTGGCTATTCTGTTTTGTTTTATTTTTTGCTTAGCAATGTTAACAAGCCAACCACTGTTTAAAGGTTTCCGAGACAAGAATAACCCAACTTTTATGGTTTTTTTCTAAGCCCTTTATCATCGGCCGACTTTTAAAAGTGTGTTTTTTTTATCCCATCTGAACTGCTGCTAGCTGAGCCTTCTTTCTCCTGGCCCTGGGATTCTTCAGATTCCGATTCTGCATGGAGATAACTTTATTTTTAGTTCTGTTTCTGTTTGTTGCTCTGTTGGCCTCTTCACGTTCTCCTTAACGGGGGAGGAAAAGAAAAGGAAGGTGACTTAGCCATTTTGCAGGAATAACGTTCGCTGCAGCCTCTGGTTCGCTGTTCCGCATTCCTCATCTTTGAAGGGCTGTTCAGGCGAGCGTGTTTATCCATCTTCCAAGCTCTTTCTTTCTTTCTTTTTTTTAAAAAAAATTTGAGTCCCAGAACAGGAAGCGTTTGCAATCTGGGGAACATTCCAGCCTTACCCCTCTTAGTCTCCAGATAAGGGAAAAGTGAAGGGCCTGAATTGCTCTAATGTTTCTAGTTTCCTCGGCAAGCTGCCTGATTTCCAGGCTGCTGTTCGTGTGCTGCAGGCCGTCCCATTGCCTTGCCTTAAACGATGCTGGGAGTCTCGGTGTAGAGACTTTGGGGAAATTGCAAAGAAGAGCAACTAAGTAAAAGGCCTGCAGACTAAAACACCTTGAGAATGGTTGCAGGAACTGGGTTTGGTTAGCCTACAGAAAAGAAGGACCAGGGGAGACAGGATAGCAGCCTTCCAGCATCTGAGGGGCTGCCCCAAAGAAGAGGGAGTCAAGCTCTTCTCCAAAGCCCCCGGAGGCAGGACCAGAAGCAACGGGTGGAAACTCATCCAGGGGAGAAGCAACTTGGAACTTAGGAGAAACTTCCTGACAGTAAGGAATGTGTGGCAAGGAGTATAAATATTTCCATTCCCCACCACCCAGTCAGAGCTGAAGAAGCTTCTTGGAGGAGAAGTGAAATGTCTTCAAAGAAAAAAAACCAGGAAGTCCAGTTGCCTTTTGGGAAAAAAAAAAGGCACTTTTGGGACAACCGTGACCTGGATGACCGAGAACATCCAGATAGACTTTAAGAAGAGGTTGAACTACCATTTGGTTGTAGTGCTATAGCAGGGGGTCAGACTGGATGACCCCCAAGGCCCCTCCCAGCTCTCTTCCCATTGAGAATTCCACCAGTGAAGCTTCAGAGGAGCTGAAGGAAAGGGTGATGTCTCCACCTAGTGTACAGCATGAGGATTGCAACCATTTGCGGATTAACTCCGCCGGTTTCCCTCCCAGCCGCGCACGGATTCCTTCTGCGCATGGACCAAGAAGGCTTTTACCCCCCTGGCAGTAAATTTCCTGGAGTTGGGTGGAATTCATTTCTGGTTTTTTTTTTTTAAATCCATATTTTTTTTTGTTTTATTCAGAAGCCTGAAATGCAAAATTCCAGAAAAAATAAAACAGAACTAGACAAGGACGTAAAAAAAAAACCCCGGAATTAAAAAGAAAAGTCAAAAGCACGTATTAATTCCCCTTAGCTGAACACTAACAAATCTGTAGCAACCATAACACCCATAGTCCTCGACTTACAACCATTCATTTAGTGACTGTTCGAAGTTACAACTGCACAGAAAAAAGGGACTTGGGACTGTTTTTCACACAACCGTTGCAGCATCCCCGGAGTCACGTGACCGAAATTTGGATGCTTGGCATCTGACTTGTATTTATGACAGGTTGCAGTGTACCAGGCTTGCGTGATCCCCTTTTACGACCTTCTGACAAGCAAAGTCAGTGAAGAAACCAGATTCATTTAACAACCGTGTGACTAACTTAACAGCTACAGTGATTTGCTTAACAATTGTGGAGAGGGGTGGGGGAGAAAGGTTGTAAAAATCACTTAACAAATACGTTGAACTGAAATTTGGGATTCAATTGTCGTAAGTTGAGGACTACCTGTAGGGTTGGTGGAAAACCAAGGACAGGGAGTCCTTGACTTACGGCCGCAATTGGGACCAGGTTTTCCATCACTAAGTGGTGCGGTTTTAAAGCGCAACTGCGTTGTTTAGTGACTGAAATCCCTGCAATCTCGGTTGAGGTCGTTAATTGAATCCCCCAAGCAAGTCACTGGGGAAGCCGGCGGGAAGTCGCAACTCCAACCGGGCACAATTGCTGCAAATTCAGCAGCGCACCTTCGTTGGCGGAGGGAGCCTAATCGTCTCTTTTTTTATTCTTTTTTCTTCCCTTCCTTCCTCTTTTTAGGGACCTGAAGTTGCGGAATTACATCCCGGAAGACGAGGAGCTGAAGGAAAGAGTGGTGCCCAATGCCAAGCCAGCTTCAGGTAGCTCAGTACGGGGAGACACGGGGGGCTCCCCGGTGGTCGGTCTGTCTCCTCCGGGCCTGTCTGGCAACAGCCAACCAGGAAGCCGGCGAGGAGGACAGCGTGTCATGGTCCTTTTTTAAAAAAAATCTCTTTCTTTCTCCTTCTTCTCCTGGTCTTTCTCTCCTCCTCCTCCTCCTCTTGTATCTTCTCTTCTTTCTCCGTTTCCTTGTTTGTCTTCTCCTTCTGCATCTTTTTTTCTCCTTCTCCATCCTCCTTTTTCATTTCTTTGTCCCCTTCTCCATATTCCTCACTTTCTCCTCTTTCTCCTCCCCGTGTATCTGATTTCTTCTTCTTCTTCTTCTTCTTCTTCTTCTTCTTCTTCTTCTTCTTCTTCTTCTCCTCCTCCTCCTCCTCCTCCTCCTCCTCCTCCTCCTCCTCTTCTTCTTCTTCTTCTCCTCCTCCTCCTCCTCCTCCTCCTCCTCCTCCTCCTCCTCTTCTTCTTCTTCTTCTTGCTTTCCTTCCTTCCTTTTTGCTTTCTGCCTTCCATTACTCCTCCTCCTCTTCCTCTTCTTCCTTTCTTTCCTTTTTCCTTCTTCCTTCCATTCCTCTTCCTCCTCCTCCTCCTCCTCCTCCTCCTCCTCCTCCTCCTCCTCTTCTTCTTCTTCTTCTTCTTCTTCTTCTTCTTCTTCTTCTTCTTCTTCTTCTTCTTCTTCTCCTTCTCCTTCTCCTCCTCCTCCTCCCCCTCCCTCCTCTTCCTCTTTTCCTCCTCCTCCTCCTCTTCTTCTTCCCCTCCCCCTCCCCGTCCCCCTTCCTTCTTCTTCTCCTCCTCCTCCTCCCCTTTCCCCTTTCCTGTACCAGGGGAAAGGAACCAAACCGATGCCCTCCTTTGAGCCTTAAGGCCAAGGTAGCTGGCACCTGCGAGGCACCTGCGAGGCCAGGACCCTGAAGGGGCCCCCATGACCCACTTTCCCTTCTGGGGGGGCGGGGGGGGCCTTTCCGGTGTCCTACCTCCAACCTGGGGTTGCCGTCCTTTTCCTCTCCGGCATCCGTTCTCCGAAGTTCTCCCTTCCCTCCCAAACCGGCGCTCCTCCTTCCCCGCCTGCCGAGTCCTGCGATTCCCAGACCTGGAGGGCACCCGCCTGCAGGTGGCTGGCTCGGTTCCGGCAGGGAACAAACCCCGACGGGGCCCCGGGGACAGGACCTCTCGGCACCCCAGTGGGCAGGGGGGGCGTCTCACCCTTTCACCCGCTTCCTTTCCACGTCTCTCATCCCCGTTTCCTCCTCTCTCCAGTGGAAGACAAAGTCAAGGAGCAACTGGAGGCAGCTAAGCCAGAGCTGATCATCGAAGAAGTGGTAAGGGCTTCAGTCCCACGGGACCCCCACCAAGGTCCTTTTGCCGAAAAGTGGCTCTTAAAGAAGGGTGGGGCGGAGCTTTCCTCATTAACCCCTCCCCTTTATTTCTGTCCCTTGTAGGACCTGGCCAATCTCGCCCCCAGGAAGCCGGACTGGTGAGCAGGAACGTTTATCTCCACGGACAATACAGGCAGAATTTGCTTTTTTAAAAAAAGGTCTTCCTGCGTCTGCCGTGCGGCAGTTGTGACTCTTTGTGTGCATTGGAAGGTTCAGCTACATCGATTGATTGCTAAACACCTACGTGCACCGGGAGGGAATCTTTAATCTCCACGGATTCATGACTGAAAGCCCGTGCGCAGGAATTCCCTCGACTGCTATTCGATAAGGGGCTTCCGGGAGGGTTGGACTCGTTTTCTTTGTGGCTATATAGTGATTCTAGGCTGATTTCCCCTTTACACACACACACACACACACACACACTGGTTTTGCCTGCTCTTCTCCAATTAGAGGAGGAAAGTTACGCTTAGGATCTTAGCTCTGAGCTCAGTTGGCATTTAAAGATTGGATAGCCGATAGGGAATAACAGAGTTGAAGGCCTTCTAGTCCAACCCACCCCCCACCCGGAGTTTTGATTCACTTCATTTCTTTTCTTCTCTCGTTCTCCAGGGACCTGAAGCGGGACGTGGCCAAAAAACTGGAAAAATTGGAAAAACGGACCCAGAAGGCCATCGCTGAGCTGATACGTAAGTCTGGTCCATGGGGTAGAAACGTAGTAGCGCCCAGGTCCATTTTGTCATTCGTTTCTCCCCCCCAAAAAAGTGCTAAAAAGGCGCTGGGCTTTCTCGTTTTTTCTTTTGAAGACATTTCACTTCTCATAGAAGGAGCTTCTTCGGCTCTGGCCGGATGTTGGGGAATGGAAGGATTTCTGCTCCTTGCAGACAAAGCTGGTCATTGGCATCCTTTTTAGGGAGTCACTGAGGCCCCCTGGAGCTTTATCTGTGTCCTCGGGGTCAAAATAGTGCAGATCTGTACATTGGTGAACCAAAACAATCACTGTCACGCCCCTGGTGGGGTCTGACTCTGAGGGAGAGGAGGAACAGCCGACAGGGAGTGGGAGTGTGGCTCCAGAGGTGGTGGAGGAGGCTGGGGAAGGGCAGAGGCCGGCTGGGCAGTCAGAGGAGGACCCAGGCCCATCCCCTCTCCATCCTAGGGCACGCAGGGAGGAGAGGATCAGGGAAAAGCGAGGCCTACTCAAGAGGAGATTACCACGATCCTCCTCGGGGTTTGCAGGTGGGAGCTATGTATATAAGTTTGCAACTGCGCAGTTAGAATTGCTGGAGTCAATTTAGTGTTCACCTTGAAAGAGGCTTATCTTTGCTGGCGTTCTTCCCATGGACTTTTCTCGGTTATTTTCCTGGCGTTTATAATTAGTTATCTCGGCTTGCTTCAGAACTCTCATCAACGCGGTTTGTTTTGGTTTTGTGTTTGCCTCATTATTTACTTTTGTGACTTTAAACTGTGCCCAATAAAACAGTTGAAGGCTTTAATATATGGTTTGGGCTTTGGGTTATTTTGAGAGACTACAGGTCATCACAGGGTCTATATGTATCAGGTACAACTATGATAACCTTACAACTTTTTGGCAGATGTTGTTTATATTTGCTTGACTTCGTGTCCTCAGTGGAGAGATTTGAGAGATCTGTGTCCAACAAGCCCTCCTTCCCATCCAACATTGGCACTCGTTCCTCCTTTACTGATTCTTTGGATATTTCTACCCCGTGATACAGATAGTCCTCAACTTAAGACCGTAATGGAGCCTGCCCATTATAGTTGTAAAGCAGGACACCACGTGACCAGACCCATTTTTATGACCTTTTGTTGCAGAAAAGACTACTGTCATAACACAAACCCCGCAGTATACTACATGTGTTTTTGCCAAAATGCTGGTTTTTTTTTTGGCAAAATTGTCACAAACCAAGATCACGTGACTCCAGGATGCCGCAAATGGCCACAAACGCAGGTTCACTATGTGCCCAAATTGTGGTCACATAAGTAATAACAGGGAGGTGTAGCTATCAGAACTTTGGAACAGGCTTGCAAGTTCCGGAAATCCTCAAATTTCGACTGCCATCGAGCCCAAAATTTCCATCGCTAGGTGAGACAAGTGAGTTTTCTCCCCATTTTACGAACTTCCTTTCCACTGTTGTTAAGTGATTCAACTTAAGCTTAAGTTACTGCAGTTGCTACTCCATCCCCCGGTCGTTAAGTGAATTGACTTTCCTCGTCAGACGGTCGCCAAAGGAGATCCCTTGACTCTCCAGGACCGTCGTGAATACGAGCCAGTTGCCAAGCAAAATCATTTGAATTTTGATCAGGTGATCACAGGGATGTTGCCCTGGTCACAAGTACGGTGAAGAATGGTCACTAAATGAACTGTTGCAAGTCAAGACTCCCTTTGTCATGAAATCTGTGGCTGCTTGTCTTGTTCTTTTGACGAGGACGAACCTCTTTTGATGGAAAATCGGGGTTTCTTGGATGCCTCGAAGCCTCTGGCGGGCCCCTTGCTTTGAGGGTCAGGGTTGGGCTGGTTCACACTGGTTCGAGCGAACCGGTGGCTAATTTTACATCCGATTCGCCAAACTGGTAGTCGCTATGATTGGCTGGCCCTGCCCACCCTGGAGTCCTCTCTCTCTCTCTCTCTCTCTCTCTCTCTTTTTCTCTCTCTCGCAGGAGAACGCCTGAAAGGCCAGGAGGAAGAGCTGGCCTCGGCCGTCGATTTGGCCAAGCAGCAGGACAGTGACTCGGATTGAGGCGCCTCCCAGAAACAAGATTCTCCTTGGGGTCCTTCAAGAGGAGGGTCTTCCCCTCCTTCACGAGAACCCCAGATCTGAGCTCCCGGAGCCAACAGGGAGCCCCAAAACCACGTTTTGCTGGCAAAGGAAACCTCGAGGCTTTCTTCAGACACGCCGCTCCTCCCGCCAAACTGTCGCCTTCCTTTCACGGGGAGAAGGGGGACTTCATGTTCTTGCGTCTCTCGGCTTGGCTGCTGCCTCTCCTTCCTCTTGGGGCCAGGCGCCAGCGGTGGACCTCAAAACCCAGGGAAAGCAAGGTGGGAGGATTTGATCCCACATCTTCCGTGTGACTTGCTAGGCAGATGGGCGATCCTTGTCTTTCTTTTTTTTAAAAAAAACTTTTTTATGATTTCCAAAGTTCAAATTATAGAATAATTTGAGTGGGGGGTGGAAAGGGGGGAAAGCAAACAAGCTAAGAACCATCAGACAGATAATAAACGTTTAAGAAACAGGTGCGTAGCAAGAGAAAAAAAACGACAAATATGTCAGCCACACAACAATTGTGTCAAGTTTATCACGGTTTTTTTTAAAGCAGTGTTTTTCACTCTAAGCCGCTTTGAAGAAGTGAGGGCTTCAATTCCCAGAATTCCCCAGCCAGCTGCAGGTTACAAGAAAGACATTATTTTACAAATTTCTAGATTTCTCCAGGCTGTCTGACCTCAAAAGCGTATGTGACAAATGAAGGCTGATTGGCGCGAGCGTAGTTCGGTCTTTTTTTTTTTTTATCTAATAAAATGTTCTCCAAGCGATTCTCTGATATCTGAGCTGTCCGATTTTGTCCACTTGAGTTTGGCTGGGTTGGAAAATGCAGAATTTTGTCTTTTTTTTCCTGCCCCCCCCTTTTTTTGGGGGGGGCTGTGTGGATGACTTCCCAATCAAAGTCATCAATCTTCTAAGATAGTCCTTTACTTACAACCACAACGAAACCCCAAGTTCCTGTTGCTAAGTGAGACAGTTAAGTTATTTGACAGCTGTTCTTGCCACAGTTGTTAAGTGAATCACTACAGTTGTTAAGTTAGTCACTCGGTCGTTAATTGAACCTGGGCTTCCCCGTTGACTGCTTGTCAGGAGGTCACCAAATGAGCCACCATCATAAATTCAGGTCAGTTGCCAAGCATCCGAATTTTGATCATGTGACGCGGAAGGGGGGGTGGAATTCTGCAATGGTTGGTCGTAAGTGAAAAAGGGTCATAAGTCACTTTCGGTGCCGTTTGGTCTCTAAACAAATCATTGTAAACCAAGGATTAGATCGTATTTATTTCCCTGCCTTGTTTTCCTTCTCTTCTCTTCCTCTCTTTTTTTTTTCCTCTTTTTAAAATTTTAATTTCATTTTTCGCTATTTCTTGTTTCTCCTAGGGATTTTTTTCACCACCTCCGCAGAGTTTTTTATCCTTATTTAGCTAATAGTTAAAATGTGAGATAAGCCCAATCTGGTCTCAGGTGCCCACGAAATCCTTCTACGATTCTCACCCAGGATAATCTCCTCGGAGAACAGAGGTTGCCAGATCCAGGTTATCTGTGTGTGTGTGTGTGTGTGTGTGTGTGTGTGTGTGAAAGACCCTGAAGCTGTATTTTCCTGTGGCTTAAGTCGAGTTCAGGTAGCCCTTGATTTACAACGGTTCATTTTGTGACCGTTCTCAGTTACAAAGCCACTGAAAAAAAGGGACCATGATCCCCTTTTGCGACCTTCTGACAAGCAAAGTCAATGGGGAAGCCCAGATTCACTTAACGACCCCGTGAGTAACGGCTGCCGTGATTCACTTAACAACACTGGCAAGAAAGGTCATAAAACAGGGCAAAAGTCCCTTAATAAATGTCTCACTTAACCACAGTAATTTTGGGCTCAATATGTGGCCGTAAGTCGAGAACTACCTGCGTTATATTTTCGAAACGTGCTCGGCGAGTCTTCAAAACTCCGTCATCCTCTGGTAATTCGGGATATTAGCCAACCCGGAAGACTAATTTAACTTCTGAAGCGGAGTTGCGTTTGTTTTGCCTCTGGGATTTTGTGGGTTGGGAAACACTCAGCCACACCCTCGTGGCAGTTGCCTTACTCCCGAGTCGTTTTTCCCCCCTCAGGGCGACTTTGAGCGGTCACTAAACGAACAGCTGTAAGTCAAGGGTTGCTTATAATATTTTGGACAGACTCGGTGACCTCGAGAGGAGAATGGTTCTCACGGGCTAAAATGACACAGGTTACGCAATGCTGCACCTACAAAGAGAGAGAGAGAGGGAGAGGGAATAAGAATGGAAGCGTCACCTGTTCCAAACAGAAAGGGTGTGTTTAATTTCAGGTATTTCAAATGGCAGGAAGGCCCCAGGTTTAGAAAGCCTGGGGTTTTTTTTACAATGAGTTGGGTTAACAACTCGCAATACAACAACAGACATTCAACACAAAATGCACCGGGGTTAAATGTGGCACTCTCATTTTCTCAACAACCAACGAGACAACGATGATTGAATGCCTGAACCAGAAAGGAAACCAGGCCTAGAGGGTTGTGTGAATTTACACACATACACACCCCGAGAGGGAGATAATCCTTGACTTATGGCCACAATTGAGACCAAAATCTCTGTTGTTTAAGAGAGACATTTGTTACATCTTACTTACCTGCGGTAGCTAATCGTGGTTTGCCTCAAAAGGAACCAAGGCAGAATCTAGTAATTACAAGCAGGGCTCAACTTACAACTGCAATCAGGGCTTCCTATTGCTAAGTACGGCAGTCGTTAAGTGAGTCACCACACTCGTTAAGTGAATCACACAGTCGCTAAATGAATCCCGCTTTCTCCTGTCGGAAGCCAGCTGGGACGGTCACAAACAGTGATGACGTCGTGCTGCAGCCGCCATAAAGTGAGCCAGTGTCCGAATTTTGACCGTGAGGCTAGTTGCCAAGTGCAGCAAGTTTTGAACTCAGGACGGTGGGGTAGGCAGAGACGGTTGTGAGCACAAGGATTGGTCATAGGTCACTTTTTCAGCACTGTTGTGACTTTGAGTAGTCACTAAACCAGGGGTCCCCAAACTTGGCAACTTTAAGACTTGTGGATTTCAACTCCCAGAATTCCCCTGCCGGCCATGTTGGGGAATTCTGGGAGTTGAAGTCCACACGTCTTAAAGTCGCGAAGTTTGGGGACCTCTGTACTAAACAAATAGTTGTAAGTTGAGAATTGCCTGTGAGGCCAGCAAAAGCATCCAGATGAACATAACACCATAGAAGTTTGTTAAGAAAACCACAAGTGTCCTTCTGATGTCACCAGGGTTGAATCTACAACACCGGAGATGTTCGGTTAGCTCAGCTGACTCAACAAACCCTGATTCACGGGGAAACTTTGTCCATGTTTCATCCTCGTGAACACCGACCTACTTCCCGCTTCCTCTTCTCCAGCCAAAGGATGGTCAGAGAAGAAAGGTGTCCTTATCTCCTCACCGAGCAGGGAGGGTCTCATGTCCTCCTCCGTGTCCCGTTCTTGGAGGGCCTCAAGGGCGAGACCCAGACGGGCGGAGACGGCTTGGCAGGACTCAAAAATAATTTTCGGCGCCGTCCCGTTTCGCAAACAACGATTCGTCAGCTTGGATGTCGAAACGCCAGGGTGGGGTCCTCCAAAGACAACCTTGAGTCATGACTTTCTTGCAGGCCAGAAGGGAGCTGGAGGTTGTGACACTTTGTGTGCGAACTTCTCTTCCGGCGGGCCAACCCCAAAGGGATCAGGGCAGGCCCATATAAGCGTGAGAAGCACCGAGGAGGCGCTCACAACGCCTGCGATCCCGGAGAGTTTGTGGGTCTCGTCCAGGATTACGGGGAAGAAAACAAACCATGAAGGCTTCTTGGCTCGGCTTGCTGGTGTTGGCCACCTTCTCGCTTCTCCTGGCAGCTCGCTCTGAGGAGGCCCCACCTGGCTCCGGAGCACCTGAGGTGGTGGAGTCCCATTTGGAACCTCTGCCTGTAAGTATATGGGGCTCTTTTTTGGGTCGGCCGGGGCTGATTTTATTAAAACTTCCAGCAAAGAGGCATGTTAAGAAAACAATGGAGAGACAGAGGAAAAAAATTAAGTGTAGGTGTGGAACGGTTTACTTTATTGTCATTGCAGCTCGTATAACGAAATCAAACACCATCTTCAGGGCACATCATGACCATGAAAATAAACAAACACACATCCTTCACCCTCCACACATTGAACCGAAAACCCCCGACAGCACACCAACACTGCACTATACAGCAGAATCCAACAGAGCTCCTGCCCTGGGATAGACGCTGTTTTTCAGCCTATTTGTCCTTGTTTTTATTATCCTGTACCGCCTGCCAGATGGTAATAGTTCAAAAAAAGGCTGGTGCCCAGGATGAGGTGGAACTTTGAGAATGTTTTGACCTTCCTTAAGGCAGCGGGAGCCATAAAGCTCTTCCAAAGAGGGGAGAGGGCAACCCAGGATCCCCTGAGCAATGACGTTCACCCTCTGGAGTGGCTGTCCGATCTGCCCCGGTGCAATTGGCAAACCATCCACAGGTGCAGTAAGTTAAAATGCTCTCTCCCTGGTGCAGCGGTAGAAGGTCACCAGCAGTTTTCCATTCCATGGTTGTTTCCTGAGAAGCCTCAGGTGGCATAATCTCAGGTAGTATAATCTCAGGTAGTATAATCTCAGGTAGCATAATCAAAGCTGCCCTACCAGGAAAGATCTTGCTTATTAAAGGATCTATTCTCTTTTGGGGGGGGTGGGGAGCGTAGACTGAAAATTCAGGTAGTCCTTGACTTACGATAAAAATTGAGCCCTGTTGTTAAGTGAGACAGTGGTTAAGTGAGTTTTGCCCCATGTTACAACCTCCTTGCCACAGTTAATCAGTATTTCAACCACTTGTCTGAAATGGTCTATGGCTTCCTGCCTAAGCAGGGGGTTGGACTAGAAGACCTCCAAGGTCGCTTCTATTCTATTCTATTCTATTCTATTCTATTCTATTCTATTCTTATACTTATTCTTATTCTTATTCTTATTCTATTCTATTCTTTTTCTTATTCTTATTCTTATTCCCTATTCTATTCTATTCTATTCTATTCTATTCTTATCCCTTATTCTATTCTATACTATTCTTATCCCTTATTCTATTCTATTCTATTCTATTCTATTCTATTCTATTCTATTCTATTCTATTCTATTCTATTCTATTCTATTCTTATCCCTTATTCTATTCTATTCTATTCTATTCTATTCTTATCCCTTATTCTATTCTATACTATTCTTATCCCTTATTCTATTC